GGGAGGGAGGGAGGGAGGGAGGGTGCGCATCGCCACGCCCTGACCTACTGATTTTGTTTTTGGCCCATCGCCACACCCCGACCTACTGATTTTGTTTTTGGCCCGGGTGTGCACCTCTTCCTGCACAGCACCCCTTTTCAGAGAGGGAGAGAGACAGAGAGCTGCACTTGAGGGGAGAGACAATTGAGCATATCTTCATGCAGTGCCTGATTGCACAATTCACCTGGAGGTGGTGGGACCGCATCTGGCAAAAAATGGTGGCTAACCTCCCCTGGCCCTGGTCATGGCGGGCGATCCTTGCCAAGCTGCAGCCTTTGTGGGGAATATGTATAGACTTGGAAGGAGGGCGGTTTGGGGGGTACTTCGGTGGCAGAGGTGCCTTCTGGCCATAGAAAAGGTGAGGATAGATGGAGTGGAAATCACGGGGCAAATTCAACTGCAAGTGAATCCGGATATAACACGGAGATGGCTCGCCTTGAAGCCATAGTTGGGCCTATACAAGCAGGTAGGGAATGTCAGAGGGCCAATCACTACTTTCTGCACAGAATGGTTGGGAGGGGAAAAAGAAGGTCGCCCAGTCAAAAGGGGAAGACGTACGGGCTTCCCCCATGGGTAGGAGAAAAGAGCCTCAGGGTCACAAGCAGTCAAGGCTGCAGAAACCCCAGTCAACAGGCTCCAATGGTATCCCAACTCTGTTCAATGACTATTCAGATTGTTCACATGGGACGCTGGACCCGATTTCCAGCAGGTGAAGCTCCCCACCAATAGAGGGAGTGGCCGGCACCGGGCCTACTAGGGGTGGCTGCTCTTATCAACCCCCCAACCAAGTACCCTGAGCAGGCCTGTTTTGTTCCCAAAAAAAAAAAAAAAAAAGGTTGCATAGCAGGAGTGGACTGGAGTGGAGTAGAGTGGGGATAGAGCAGGCGGACAACAGGACTTGGAGGGTATGAGGGATTACTATCAAGTGTTCAAAGATTGGATACACATTGAATGACTGAACCCTCCTTCCCACTGCGGCCCCCTTCTGATTCTCCCCCCCCTTCCCTCCCCCCCCCTCCTCCCCTCCCCTTTCCCTAGCCGAAATCCTTATAGAACAAACTCCAAGCAGGTAGCACCCGGGGCTCCCCTCTGGTGCGCCCCACACGCAATGATGGCACCCGGGGCTCCCCTCTGGTGCACCCCACACGCAATGATGGCACCCGGGGCTCCCCTCTGGTGCGCCCCTCACGCAATGATGGCACCCGGGGCTCCCCTCTGGTGCGCCCCAGGAGAGACAACGGCTGGCACCCTGCTCACATACGGATATTGGAGGATGTTTCCAAGAGAGAGGCTTGCCAGCAAGACACAGACAGTTCTGGCGTCCTGGAGCAGCACGGAAGAGGAAGAGGCAGTGCCTCAATCGTATTCATTAGCTGGTCAATTAACCCCCCAGGCTCCTGGGGGAGTAGTCAATGCTGGCAACATGACTGTATTCAACGTATGCAATGTACTCAAATGGGACGCTGGACCCGTTTTCTGGCACGTGCCGCTTCTCACCAATAGACTGGAGCACCAGGAACAGGCACTTCCATTTCCCCCGAACACAACACACCCTCGTTCTGAGTGTATAAAAGCTAGATTTCCAGTCCGATGCAGTCAAGATGGGGGTAGGTTATGTTCGGGGGAAGAAGGTAGGGGAGCCTGCCTGCATCATTCCCTGCAGTCACATCTTCTTGGTGAAAAACGAAAAAAAGGAAAAAAAAAGTAGAAGAAGAAGAAGAAGAAGAAGAAGAAGAGGGAGTGCACGTGGCCTCAATTCAGGGTGTTTTCTTTTTTTTTTTTTTTTTTTTTTTTTTTTTTTGGKGGGGKGGGGGRGGGGGSRGTTYTTTTYTTTTCCTGCTCTCTCACGGTGCATCTTCCCATTGTATCCTTCTTTGGCACACAACAACTCTCTGGGGCCGTGGGCGGAGCCGCGGCGGGTCCACTTGTTTTCAAAATGGGAAGAATGAGTTAAGCGTGCATGAGGCGGCTTATAAACATGCAAAAAGAAAATAGCATCAGGATATCAGTTCCCGAGATTGAACGAAATCTGGGAACAAGACCTGGACGAAGGTCCCACTTGCAAAGAGGATTGGATGAAGCTCCTGAATCTGGATGTGTTTTATGCAGAGATGCAGAAAAGGAGATCAATTGTGATTTCTTGCACTTCTCTACATAGTACAAACACGTCCAGATTCAGGCATTTAATCCAGTCCTCTGGGCCAGTGGGACCTCGCCCCTAAAGCATATTAAAAATTGAAAATAAAATATTAAAAAAAAGCGTCTGGAACAGAGTAAGCAAACAGAGTGAAAAAGAAATCACATTTTAATTTTGAAAAAAAATAAAAATAAATAAAAACATGTATTTTGAAAAAAGTGTCCAGAACAGAGTAACCCGACCTTGGCCACAAGCAGCGGTCCCGCCGCATTCACCTGATATGTGGTCATTAATGCGTTCATCTCACATTTTGCAAGGGATGTTTCTATTAATGGCCAGCGCACAAGAGACATCAAAACATAAAGCACAGCAGTAAATAAGCAATCATTATCTCAATAATTTATTTAAGTCTTGTGTTTTTTTCAGCAATGATTATCACTAGCATTGAAGTCGATGTTGAGAAGATGGGATGATAGTCACAATACCTTTCTCCACCTTTTGGCTAAGATCAAGTGTAGAATCTGTTCTGATCAGTTTCACATCTGATCCGTGGTCCATTGGGGCCCAAAAAAAAAAGAAAAAGAAAAAGAAAAAAGGAAGATGAGACAACCAAGTTAGGTTGACGGACCAACCACACCATTCATTCCGACAGTGGACGATCGTTCGGACAATAAACAACACATGGACACAGCTTATACACAACGTCTTGTCAAGGTCGTCAAAACTTATAGACAACAGCTTCAAATTAAAAAAAAAAAAAAAGGACAAGGCCGACGCTCAGAAAAATCTAATACACAGACGTGGGTGAAGAATTGTTATGACAAAGCGCATAGTTGTGCGAGGATCTGGGTCCTTGGCAGGCCTAAGGGGCCCTGTTTACAGAAGTGCCCCCCCTAAGTGAAGGCGGGCCTAACAATCTCGAGAGGCCGTCTGCTGTCAATTTTGTATTTGGGGTCCAGGCAGTTGTGACGCGCCAGTTGGTTGAGGGAAACACAGGCCGAGCAGCAAAGACATTCCACGGCCTTCCAGGCTTTTCCTGAAATGCAGGCCCCGGGCAAGAATCGGAGCCTCATACACAGACAGTTGGGAGGCCCAACCGAAGGAGGCCCAGCAGCTGCAACAGAGGCACAGCCTCCTGGGGCCTACCGGAAGCTTCGGGGCAGGGACCCAGGCCAGCCAGGCCGCCGGGGGAGGCAGGCTCTCTCCATATAGGAAAGAGCTCGCTGCCTGGGCGCTCATTCAGGCACTAGCCAGATGCTGCGGCAGCACTGCTGGTGCTATTGCTCGCGGGCTGCTTAGCGCTAAGGGCAAGGTGCTGCGCGCGTGCAGTCGTGCAGGAAGCAGGGCGCTGCTGAGGGCAGTGCCAATATCCAGCCTCCATAGCTGGATGGGCCTGGACTACAGTGAGGCGCAGGGGTGGTCTTCGGGTGTACAGAGGGAAGACGTGGGTGTAAGACGAGGGAAAGAGAGAAGGATGATGATGATGATGATGTGAGGGCACATACCTGGTATTGGCGATGGTCTGCATTGGGCGACATCTTCAAGTACTTCGTGGGCTGCTGACGTCAACAGTTGCATTGTCAATTAGTAGGCAGACAGTAGCTGTGTAGGAAGTAGGCTGGGCGCYGAGCGCCAAGTAGGGAGAAGGGCCTGGACACTCATGTTGGTGGTGGCGAGAGCAAGCTCTCATTGACATTGGTTTTCAGTGTTACGATTCTTCATTGGTGTTATATTGGTGCATTTCTGCTTTCTGTACACTGTGATACTATCTGGCTTTCAATTTGATTGTGTATTCTGGATATAGTCATCTCGCTATAGCTCATATTCCTTGCAGTTGCCACAATCCGCTAAAAAAAAGGACAAGGCCAGCTCAGACAACAGCTTGTACACAACGTCTTGTCACTCGCTGTACGTTCCGCTGTTTTGCCACTCTATCATTTTTTCGGAACAAAGTCGCGTTGGGGATTTTTTTTCAACTATCATCCGGAGTAGCCGTTCTCTTCCTCCTCCTTCATCTTCCTCCTCCCGCTTCGAGTCATGGTGTTGAGATTTCGTGCTTTTTTTCCTCCCCTCTGTCTGGTCCAGTTCTGTCTGAGCTCTTGTAATTGGTGTGCTGATGCTTACTGTTTCAAGCCTATTTGTCATCCGGCAACTTCTCCCCACAAAGTAATCGGTGTAGAGGTCATACTACTACTGAGTGGCTTCGAGTGCCTTATTTCGCTTGATTGCAGTCGCCATGGCTACCAATAATAACTTTGTCCGTTCCTGTTATAACTGTGGTCAGGGTGGCCACATTTAGAGGTTCTGACCTCATCCTCCACGGCAGGCGCCCGTCTCTAATCCCACCACAGCGATTGTCCCTGTTCCTACCCAACGTCTCCTCACTTTCCCAGCCATAATAATAATTTCTCTAGTGCGCAGTACAATCGAGGAGGGTGGGCAGGTCCAAGTAATACCAAATTTATCGAGTCATTGGAGGAGACCATCGCAAAAATGAAGCTGCGCCATGAAGCCGAAGAAGAACGTGAGAAAAAGAAATCTGATGAAGAAGAGAAAGCAAAGCGAGAGAAGGAAGAAGACAACAGGAGACAGCGGGATAAGAAGGATCGGGAGGAACATTATAAGCAAATTGGGGAACTGATTAGTTCAAGGCTCAATGGTGTTGGTGCAGCTCAGATTTTGAAGAAGAATGAAGTTTGTGAGGTGGCAAAGTTAAGGGAAGAAGTTGATAAGCTCAAGAAGATGAAGAGCGTTGTTATTCAACCAGCTATGGCCACAGTAAATGCATCTGAGATTTCCGTGCCCCTCCAGCATGAGTTTGACGAAGCGAAGATGCAGGCCAAGAGGCCAATGAACGACCGATTACTGCTCTAGGAGATCAGGTTCTCACCTTGAAGCGGATCCCGAGGAGGCAGTCAGAGAGGCCGAAGGATGGAAACTGGAAGCACAGCGCCCTGGTAACGAACGTGGGAGCATCGCTATTGGGGTGACACCAAGTCCCCGATTCCGGACAAGACCGAGATGTGCTCCTATTGTGACTCCAGCGAAATACTAGGAAGAAACATGTGGAGGACTATAGCGAGTTGGTGGCAGGACACATGGAAGAAGTGGACATTCTGAAGCAAATGAGGATTCAAGAGTTTAACAGAAGACGTGAGGCGGAACAAGAGAATGAGAGGATGAGAGAAGAAAAGGATAAGGAGATCGAGAGATTGAAGGAGGCATGGAGTAAGGTGCAGGTGGCTTCAGCTGAAAAATTGAAAGCGTCAAGAACTAAAGAAAAGCAGCGGAAGTCAGCCGCCACCGACCTGCAACAACGCCTGGAGGCTGCTGTGGAAGAAGCGGCTGGATGCCCTGACAAAGGGAAGAGTGTTGCTGCCCCGGCTAGCAAGGAGGCACTTGTCGACGATCGGGAAGCAGCTGGATGCCCGACAAAGGGAAGAGTGTTGCTGCCCCGGCTCGCAAGGAGGCACTTGTCAACGATCGGGAAGCTTTTTTGCAAGGCTGTAGGCGTAACCTGAAACCGTTAAAGAAAGACGCTGTGTTGGCCATTTGTGGTGAAGAAGGTGTTACTTATACCACTCTAGACAAGTCCAAAGAAGAAATAGCGCAGCTACGGACACAGAGGGCATGTGACGAGATACCACCAGGTAACCAGAAAGGCGTCGTAATCAAAGACCTTACCGAAACAGAGGACGGACAGAGTGTAGACCTTGGTAAGTTCGACGGGGCAGACGCCAGCACTTCTTAGGGTCTGTCCCCGGCGCGACTTACTTATGGAAACTTGTGAGACACTGTGCTAATATTCATGGTTTGTCTACCGAGAGGATTTTTTTTTTTTTTTTTTTTTTTTTTTTGAAAAACACCCCCACCAGTGTTAGTGGTGCTGGTAAGAGCAGACACCACTAACCCTGGGGTGAGGCTCCATCTATTGGTGGGGAGCATCACCTGCTGGGAATCGGGCCCAGCGTCCCATATACAGATTGAATTTGCAGTATGTCAAATGAAGAACCGTTGTGGGGGAGTCCTGCCAGCATTGATTACCCTGGCATCCAGGGGATTGACTGAGCAGGAAGGAGGGGAGGGGGGAACCTCTTCACCTTGGAACCGGCACCAAATACCTACTGTAACACACTAGTACCTCCCTCCCCCCGCCAGCCCCAATCTGAACTGTCTCTTCCCAAGTACTGTGCTTTTTGAAACCATATCAGAGGATGATCAGAGGCAATGTAGAGGGTTCCAATCGTGGGAGGGGAGGACCAACTTTTCCTGTTCCTCCCCCTCCCCCAGCCCCTCATTCTGCAGGATGGGCCTACTACGAACCCCCTCCTCCATACCACTGTTCTCCCACCGTGGCTAAGGGTAACGAGCGAAGGGAAGGGATCGAAGCATTGCAGATCAGCCAGCGAACTGGGATGAAAATTGGTCAGACTCAACCATCTCGAGATTTAAGTGGATTTCAATCACCCTCCCTGGAGTCCTCAATCTCGCCCATACCAGTCCAGTCCAACCAAACAATTTGAAGGGGGGGGAAGGGATCAGGGAAGTCTTCACTAGGTCTCATGGGAATTGTTGTGTCGATCTTAGTCCACTCATGAAAGACGAGCCGATAGTCCCTTACTAGATCCCACCTCTCTTGTCCTTCCCCGAGGTCATTTTGGCCGCCTTTCCATTCAACTTCCCCAATCCTCCCCCCGTTGTCCCCTCCAAGCCAGCTCAGGCTTTGTTGGATGTCTTTTGGTGAGTGTAGTAGCTGGATCTGCACCCTGACTTTCTCCCATTTTTCTGAGATTTTGGTTTGGATCTGTTGTTGTATGCTTTCCGTGAACTCTGGGCCTTCCAGTCGTGCTCTTTCCATTTCATATGTACAACGCCGCCGCCAGAGGGCCTAGAGCACCGCCATGCGGCTCAGTTTGAACATATTGCTGGTTAAGTCATCGAGTTGGTCGTAAGGGTAGGCTTCACATAGCAAGGCTTTCCAATCCCACGGCCACCGGATCTGGGTTTCTAGTTGATCCCAGATTCTATCCCACCATCTCCACAGCCACACTGCTCCAGGGCATTGAAGAAAAATGTGCTCAATTGTTTCTGGCACTTTCCTGGAGGGGAACGCATTGGTGCAGAGCCTACACCAGGGGAGGGCTAGCCCTCTCTGTTCTAAGTTTGTTCTTGCGATCAGCCAATCATTTGTTGGCAGGCATCGGTGCTCAATCTGCCATTGCAGCGAGGCGATGCCGTTATTTGAACTCTTTGCTGTGCTTGACGGTGATTGGTTTGACTTTGGCTGGTCAAATACCTTGGGCGGCGAAGTTTATTAACTGCTTT